TAAAATAGGGAATCATTTTTGATAAAACAAGTGGGCAACATAATCTAGAAACACCAATCAACAGGATGCTTGCAAAACGTCATTGCGCAGCAGCAATGACGGTTATCTATTTCACACTTTACCTTCTAGCAAGCTGCTACTACCAAATGATAGAAGTGCCTACTCCTCTCTGCAACAAATCAGTTTTCCCACCTATGACAGTAAAAAGCCACATGGTTCCATAAAGCCCCATATTGATCCAAAAATGCTTTTCCCCCCAAGAGAATTAATTTATTTCACTCAAATTAATTTATGCCTGAAAGCACACAGATTCACAAAGCTGTAACAGTTGAAGAGAGACTGCCAGGTTAAAAGCTTTCAGAAACAAACCATTTCTACTGCATAGTTAGTAGAAATAGTTTAAGTTGAAAGGTTTTTAAATTACTTATTTCACTGACTGTAAGCCCTTGTTCCAACTTCCCTCCATTGTGAGACAGGAAAAGGGCAAGTACCTCCCTGGAAGTCTGCGGTAAATATTATGGTCACATTCATACAGCCACAGCCTCAAAACAGCAACACCCGAAGTCTTTAGTAAGGATTAAAAAGCATGGGGGACTATGTGGGTTTTGTTTACTTTTTTTTTTAAAGAAGCTGCACATATGTACATTGTTTAAAATGGAAACCTTTAACCCAAGACTGATCTCGTTGCCATTGGCTACCTTCAGCTCTTTTTGCTGAAAGGAATGAGGAGAGCTGTACAAAGCTTGTCACATCCCCTTTTTCTTTTGTGCTCAGTGGTGTATTTTAGTACTAGCTGTTCAGAGTCATTGCCAAGCCCTCTTTTCTTTGGGGTAGCATCTGTTAGGGTTTTTTGTTTTGTTTCATTTTCTTCCAGGTCTTTAGTGATCCCTCAAACTGGCGGCCAGTTAAGGAAACTCCTGCCCTGCTGCTCCCGCCCTCTTCCCTCCTCCAAGTCCCCTGCGGTTGCTCCCAACTCACTGCTCTACACAGTACATTTTCCCAGGTTTCTTGTCCTGCCTTAGAAGGATGATTCTCCTCCAGGTAATCCCTCTAGGAAAGGCCTTTTCAGGACTACTCAGTCTTACTAGCCACATGCCCACTGTACCTGAACTGGACAATCTCAACACTTTTGGGAGCCCAGGATGCTGCTAAGAGATAGTGTTTTGAGTTCAGTTTGCCCAGGCCTGACCTCTGCTCGAATTCTGGCTCCCCAGGTATCTTATCTTTTACAGCAGACCGTATTGGGGCTCTCTCCTTAGAGCAACCTTAGGCCATCTTCTCTACCCAGGGTCAGTCTCAGTACAACACTGCAAGGGAAGACAGGATGGATGGCGACTGCTGAGCTACACTCAGAGCACTAAAACCATGGATACCATCTCAAAGCACCAGGGAAGTTGCCTCAGATCCAGCCAAGTGTCACAGATAAGCAGTGAATCTACTATAAGGCTGCCCTGTGCAAGAGACAGGCCCAGCTCAGGTACCAGGCGGTCTTCTCCATGGTTTTGTCTCAACAGCAATATTCTCCAGTTGCTTCACCAGTAGCTCTAACAACTCAACACAAATCTTGCTGGGCAGCAAATATAACACATTCTAGTCTGTCAGGCTTTTTACTTACAGGAGCAGCTTGGTCATCTTCCTCTAATTGCATCACATTTCTGGTACCAACAGAGTTGGCCAGCACCAGACCTAGTGATCCCAACACTTCTTACTGCTTCTCTGCACACCTCTGCAAAAGAAACCTAAAAGAGCCTGCCTTACAGAATTCACCATATTAAAACTCAGCTTTTTTTCCTAGTAATAGGCTCTCATTCATACGTAATCAAGAAACAATAATACAAAGCCAATTCTTTGGTCAGCATTCAATAAGCAACATACACCAGATACTTCCTGATAATCAAGTAGAAACAGAACAAAGGCTCATTCTCATTTAACTGAAATCAATATCTGGTCACAATAAAGCTCAGAACATGCTCATCTTGAGATGTTGTGGGACATGTAAGTCAGGCACAACTTCACAAAACAGTGTACAGAGGTGAGACTATAGAGGTAGTTTATCGGTCTAGAATTCAGCCACGGTAAGCAATAGTCCGGAATTGGATCTTGCCAACTCTTCATGTTCACGGTATGGATCTTAAAGAGCTTTTCAAGAGACAGAACAAACACACTAACAAATTATATGGTGTTTTCCCCTCTTTACAACAAGATTCAGATCTCATGGGACAGCCAGAGGTAGAACAGTAATCCAATACCTGTTTGATAGCCCTCTTCCTATTTAGATATGATTTTTAAGGGTTCTTTGCCAATTACCAATTACTTCATTTTCGGAGTGGAAGACTATGCTTTGAAACATCAACTTCCCTGTCACCCTCAAACAGTATTTTGAGATATGACTACTGCAGAACATGGAGTAGAAGGCAGAGTCTCTGAAAGCAGAGATGCTCAAGGTTATCAGGGTTAGCTCTAATTCAGCAGTCCTGCAGGCCCATGCTGGTTTCCTTCAGATACCCTTGGGTGCGACAGCACCATGCTTCCCAGGACTCTGCTTCTGAGGATTAGCTCAGGCACAGAGCTACCCAAATGCAGAGTCACCTCAGACTGGTCCCAGAATAATACATCCTCAGGAACACAAAGTGCATACAGTGCTGACACACTCATACAAACTAAAGTCTAGCTAAGATTAGAGTAAGAGCAGGCTAAACCCCAAGTTCAGGAAGAGTTACCCACCCCAACTGAAGTAAGAACACAGAGATGAGCAGCGCTTATTTTAAGCATCTCTCTTGCTCTGTGTGCTTCCCACTTTTACTGCCTGTAGGCTACATATCTCCCAGCACATATCCTCATCACTTCAACCCTGTCCTTCCTCGTGACCATACAACTCTCACTTCTTGGCCAACCTCACTTTGAGGGAAATCAGCAAGTTCCCCATGTGCTGCATTTAGCCTAGAACAGAGCTGCACTCTTCCAGAGGCCAAATGAGCACTCAGCTCAAATTTGCAAAACACCAGCTGGAAATCCCTGTGAGCCTACTAACAAAAGTGCTTTGGCCATGGCTTAGCATAGTAAGGAGGACTTGCTGGTGTACCTACAGTAATAAAGCTTTACTGGTGAATCCTAGGCCTCACATGCAGTAGGGTGCTCCCTTACTCCAGGGCCAAGAAAATACATGCAGGCAACAGCTCCATCTTAAGGAGTGGAAATTAAGCCCCGGTCTGAAAGAGGAAAAAAGCAAGTAGTAGAGTACTACTACCTGGAATACCTCTGATACTACATGCAGTGGACCTACTACATGAGCCATGTAGCATTCCCACACATACAGCAAGTCTGAAGCTGCAACTGGACACTGTGCACTCAGTAGCCACATCTGCAGCAGTTATACATGCTGAGGAACATTCTTGGGCAGTGGAAATCATAACCCTGGCCTCATTTTGGCCTGTGATCACTGTCATGGTTCTTAAACAATTCCTGGGACTCTTCAGGTACATTCCCAGAAGGCAGCCTGCATGCAGCTATGCTGTTGGTGCACAGTCACCTACAACCTTTGCCATCAGCTGAGAACAACAGTTCAGTAATCTGGACAAAAATATTATGTACCAGTCTGCTTTGGTGCAAGAGAACACACTGGAACATTTAACTTCCTAGCATGGCTGTGGCTTCACTGCCTAGACTTTGTGCAGGCACAGAACTGCTAGTGCCTTTACAACAGTGCTATTGCAATAGCTTGAATTTATGGAACATCAGGAGAGTTGAAACCTCCAGATTCTTGGGCAGAAAGGTATGTGTGGGGTGGGAGGCAGAACATAAAGGTAAGATTAGAAGGCTTGCAAACTAACCATCATTCCCAACATTGGTTTCCAAAATATTCTAGATAGCTGCAAAACATGCCCATGAAGAAGATCCACTACATCAGGAGGTCCTCTGAATCCATAACAAACCATACCTGTAAGGATGTTCTTGAAGGCTTCTTCTACATTTGTTGAATCCAGAGCAGAAGTTTCAATAAAAGATAAGTTATTTTTTTCTGCAATAAATAACAAGTGGTTCGGTTAAAAATTTTAAGAGCACTTTATTTCACCTTTACTTTGAGGTTTTCACCTTTATTTTTAGGCCAAATTAGCCAGGGCACGGTCTTTTTTTTTTCCTGTTACACGAGGAACAACTTGGTGCACGATTTATTTAGCTGCTAGCATTTCAACAGCATCATCTTTGACCACTGCCTTTCCATAGTGCGAGAACATTTTCCTCACTGCAGCCCTTGTTCAGTCATGTAATACAGTATTATTCTCATCTGGCTACAGATCACTCCTAGAAGTACCTTGAGCAAGAGCACAGGCAAAAGCATGTTGGCTACAACAGGAATCACAATTCTCCTCTGCAACCCCAAAAAGGTAAACAGACCTACACTTTCCTAATCAGACCCCACCTCCAAATTACAATAAAACCCCTAGTAATACAGTCTATTTTCTTCTTTCCTCTTACAATGCAAGAGAGATGTATTTTTTATTTTAAAAAAAAGATTGTGATTAACACCCAAACATCACACCTAGAATGGCACTGTACCACCTACCCAGAAATAGGCAAATTTCAGTCATAGAGCTTAAACAGCAACACCTGTACTATCACTAGCTATTTAAAACACAGCCTTAGTAGGAAGTCAGGGGCAAAAAATAAGATGTTGAACCAAGAGACCAAAGTAATGCACTATCTAGGGTGCCTACTTGTTTTGCTTCTCTTATGTAGACTTCACTTCTCATTCATCTGAAAATTTAGAGTAGTTTTACTAACTACAGGGTACTTTGCTTACTAGCGGACTTCAGAAAACATGTTTAAACAAGCCCTAGTAATATTCCTAGAAGGATTTTAAAGGCTATGCATTTAAATTCCACCTCCAAGCTTGATAGCCACACAAAAGTAACCTCAATGTCCCTAGGCCTATAAGGGCAAAAGAGTGTTTGACCAGTGCTCTGCAAGGTAAGGAAGAGAGAGAAGTAATGCAGTGGCAGCAGCTCACATAACCCACTTGATTTCTCCCAACAATTGATAATCTCCAAGTCTGATGATCACTGCATTTAAATGAAGCTAGATGACACTACTATATGCATCAGTGCTCTGGAGCAGAAACTACACCATCTAAGAGAAGGTTCAGTATTCATTTGCAGCTGTCCACATTGATATGTCAGTAGAACCAGTCCTCTAGGAAGGAAGGAAAGACATTGTGTTGCAATATTTTGTATTTATATTGTGACATTTTCTCTTCTAAATGTTGCTTACTGTTTCTAGCCTTGCTAGAGGAAGTATTTAATCTTCAGCTATCAAGCAGCTCAAGGACAGTGTTTCAAAAACACGTACTACCACTAGATTAAAAAAAACCCACACACACTATTTAATAAGCCAAGATGTTTTCATTAAAAAAAACAAACCTTAAATGCCTTTTTTGGGTCAAAAATAAAACTTGAGGTGAAAGTTCAGTCCTGGACAACAACAGCGTGATTACAGCTTGCACCAACATCATCAAGTTCAGAAAGCAGCAACCCAGAACACACTGTCTACAAACCTGCAAAAGCCCGGGCCTCATCAGTGGGCACAGCTCTCAGATGGCGGAGGTCACTCTTGTTACCCACCAGCATGATGACGATATTGTTGTCTGCATGATCTCTAAGTTCCTTTAGCCAGCGCTCCACATTCTCATAGGTGAGATGTTTGGCAATGTCATAGACAAGAAGAGCCCCAACAGCACCACGGTAGTATCTGAAACCATAAGGCACATTCCTGTACAGAGAGCTCTGTCCAAGTTATACCAACAAACCTGGTATCTGGCTCTTCTATACTGGTCACTACTAAAGTTAAAAACATTTCCCCCCACTTTGGAAAAAGTTGTGCTGATGCAAATACTGTTGTTGGGTTTTTTTTAAGCCTAAACCCAAGTTCCAAATGCTGGGTTTTTTTAATGGCATTGCTAAAAAATTCCAGTGTATGTAACAAAATGCTTAAGAGACTGCAGAAGCCATGACATTTTTTAGTCTGCTAAAACAGCATGCAAGAAAACTCACAATGCATTTCAGAATCAGTACTGCTGGAAGGTTTTTGTAAAGTTTAACTTACCTTTCTACTAAGAAAATAGTCCTTAGTAAAATGTCAATATTTGTTGCTGATCTTTCAAATACCCCCCCGTCTCTCTTAAAAATTGAAGAGGGAGACTCTGGGCTATACTGACACTTATCCACAAGCCCGTAACCCGAGAACAGAGTTTGCTCCCTCAGTGCAGGCTTGGGCCCATTTCAACTGAAGCCAAGGGCTCAGGACAGCACAAGCCAATCTGTACCAGCAATCCTATAATGTCCCTATCTCTCTCCCACACAATCCTACCATTTCTCCTCTGCTCCGCCAGCACCTGTCCACGTCGTTGAACCAATTCAGGGCACCAAGTCAGCAGAAAACATTCACTTTTTGCTGCTGGTTGGTGTTCTGCTGGCTTAGCAAGCTGAACTGGCCTAGCAATGTGTCAAGCAGGAGCTCGTGCCAGCACAAAGGAGAGGCAGGATCACAGGACTACAGATGCACTGATTCTCATCAGTCAAGTCTGTTGTTGAACCAGACTCAGCCAGCAGTTTTTCTGCTAAGCTTTTACAACAGTAAGAACAATTTAAGAGTCACAAAAAAATTCTGAAAAAACACGCTAACAATTATGGAAAAGATGCAATCTGAAATCGCCACCTACATCTGCTTCTGCATTACATTGTTTTTGCATTCCTTCCCTATAGGTGATTTCCTTGGGGCTCCATGCTCTTCTATTTTTCTCCCATCTATTGTGCATTACCCTATTTCACCTCAATGAAAAAAGTTCCCCTTACCTTGAGTTTAATACAAATGTTTCAATCTGTGCATGTTCAGAAACAAGTTTGTACCTTTAAAAACTGATATATATCTGTAACACTAAAAAATTTCAACTCGAGAATAGGCCCTGGATAACTAGGCCTGCCAATAGGGTTTGGGGTTTTTTCCCCCCTCAGAAAGATACTTTTGCCTACTACCTGCATAGAAACAGATACACCCAGAGGTTACATCTGAAGACACCATCTGGAGTAACAAGGTGCTGTACATGAAAGCTTCTCAACAGCACTGTTCTACATAGGGATGTGCCTAATGCTGCAGAGTCAGCATTATCACATTTGCCTTGCTACTTACTGGTTATTCAGCATGTGCTCTTGGACCTATTTTTCAGGGCTGTGACTAATTCAAAGTCATTGAGATTTCAAGGGAATTTGTGGCTGCAGACTGTCCTAAAGATACCCTCAATCTCAAGATTGAGGGGGCAATGAAGACCAGGAGCCACTGGTGTTATGGTAAGCTACCATGCCTAGACCAAAATTTGATGCCAAACAGTACCCAGGTTCCATCAGAAATGACACTCATTCCACATGAATGTGGATAGCACATCCAGGACAGGTAAAAAACCCAAATCACAAGACTCAAACAGAATTTCCCACACTTTTTATTTAACCTGTCATTTTTTCTATAATAGCATCATTAGAATCTAAAAATTACTTTCATTATATTAATCAAGGAACACAAAAGTATTTGCTATCTTATGACTTGGATCTACACTGAAGTCTGTCGTAATGATTTTGTCACGTGTCCCAAATATGTTTCATTAATTCTCTACCCATAAATTTATCTGTACCATCTCTGCTAGAATTCTGCTGTTAGCCTGAGCAAAGACATAGTACTCACGCTGAGGTAATGGCACGGTATCGTTCTTGTCCTGCAGTATCCCAGATCTGTGCTTTTATCGTCTTCCCATCCACCTGGATGCTCCTGGTGGCAAATTCCACCCCAATGGTGCTCTTACTCTCCAGATTGAACTCATTGCGTGTGAAACGTGACAGAAGATTACTCTTCCCAACACCAGAGTCTCCAATCAACACAACTGAAAGAAAAGACATTATTTTTGAAATTAATTCTTCACACCAGCATTTACATAGCGCAATGGTGCTACCTGGCTGCTATGTTGCCTTGCAGGCAGGACCCAGAGGACTTGCACAGCCAGATAAACGTAGGAGAAAGTTATGCTGACAACACCTCAGACTTCACTACACATAGCTTGCTTCCCCAGCCCCAAAACAGCCCCAAGCCTTTTTGTTGCTAGCAGCTGCTCAGTTCCTCAGAGATGGAAATGAGAAATGCTACAGCGACTGTCAACAGCTAAACATTGCTTTGGAGGCCCAAGCCACCACCAGTAATTAGAGGTAACTAGATGTTCCTTGCATACTCGACCTTTTGCAGAGGAAGGCTGCAACCCACATTTTAAGAAACACTACAGTCAAGAACACGGCAACAGGTTACCTGTCTGCCTGACAAAAGCCTGTGTACAGTATAAGCCTACTCTATTTTTTTTTTTTTAAAAAAACAGAGTAAGTAAACAATTATTTACGTCCCTGGTGGGGTCATACAGGGTGTTATATTTCAATAATTTAATTCATAAATATGTTCACCACAAAAAGAGGAAAATAGGAGACATTTGATACTACAAACAAGATACAAAGCAAAGCAGAACTTCATCCAGCAAAACGAGCTCTAGTAGATTGCGTGAGAAGTAAAAAATGAGCTAAAAATCTCTGCCTCCACACAAGGTGTTGCCATGTTAACAGAAAAATGTTAATGCAGAGAGATCTTCAGCACACAAACCCCAGCTTTACTGAAAGGAATTATGAAAATAAAAGCTACATCTCGTAGTAGGAGTTCCCCCCTACTTTGGGGCTGAAGCTCTCTCGGGATCTCTGCTGATCCCGAGGCACACCTCTTTGCCATTCCTACTCGAGCAGGCT